ATTGCAACAATAACTCCAAATTGCACATGAAGCGCCTTCTGTGTGCTAGGCACTGTCCATGGTAAGCAGAGAGGCATTAGACAGCTCCTTGCTATTAGCCTGTAATTTAGGGAGAGAGACACTTGACTAAACAAATGATATGAGGAAATGGGTAACATTTAGTATCTTGACAATTAATTGCAGAAACAAAGCGGGAAGTCAAAGGCGGTTAAAATATTTACTTCCAATGACTGGTAAAAATCCCCTGACCATGGGAAGACTTAGCGTGTGAGGAGGAGAGGCAGGCTGGAGGTGAGGGAGCAGGTACTAAACTGGGATTTAGACACTTGGAGCTTGCAACACCTTTAAAACAATATGGCAGATAGGTTCTGAAGGCCATTGTAAATATGGATTTGTGGCTCCAGAGAAGGACCGTTTCTAGAGATGGCAGCATGGAAGTTGAGACCAGCATTGAAGGTTCTGTGTCCCAGGCGGAAGAGGGGGGTGAGCGACACGGGGGGTTGTCGCGGTGTGCGCACATGGGACACTTCCCTGCCGGCCTGGGCGGAGTCAGCATGGTGTCCTCAGTGAGTTCTGAGACACGTCTGTTCTGTTCTGAGCGAGTGCGTTTTGGGGAAGGCTTGTAGTATGCTTTTTGGGAGGAACAGCTTGAATTCTCTTCCCTTCCTTGCCAGCCTTTGTTGCTTTTTAGGGTTTTTACTTACCCAAGACCTGGTATTTAATGCCTGTTTTCACACCCTTTGAAGTACTTTCCTAAAATGGCCTTCTGTATGTGCTGATGCCGTTCTTTTTATTAATTTTCAAGATCCTTTACTTACATTACATATATGTAATTCTATCTCATGTGAGTTTGGGTTTTTATGAGCATATTCCGTAACATTTAACTATAGTTAACACTTAGGTTAACTTGCCTTCCCTAGACATTTTAGAACTTATAAAAACTTGATTTGAATTGTAATGGCCAAAAGCAACAGGCAGGTGTCAGACACATTTAAAAAGCCCTTGGGAAGACTAGGAGAAACCCAGCAGATTAAAGGGGCAAAATTGCGAGAACATGAGGTATAAATATTATCCTCAAATCTGTGACTGATATGGTGTAAAACAATGAAACAGTAAAAGATTGGCTTCGCTCACACTAGATTCAACAGTGGACAACCACTTACATGTATATATGTTATTTCTGATGTTTTGTAAACGAACACTTGATCTCAGCCATGGAAATGTGCAATAATGCTGCCCCTAGCTAAGCCAATTTATGCTGCTTAGCTTCCTTGTGGTATTTGTTCTTGCTCATCTGCATCAGTGAAGCACATGGCGCCTAGGCAGGTGAAATGTGGCAGGACTAACACACCATTGATATCTGTCTGGTAATTACAATTGGAAAAGAAGTAACCTTGTCCAGCCTCATTGACCTGGGCTATTCTAGGGATTTATATATCACTTTTCTAAGAGTTAAATAACTTCTGAGCAAATGTGGGCGCCCATGTACCCATCCTGGTAGCTGCGTGTGGAAAATAAGACTTTGCCCTCGCCACACAATCTGCTCCCACAAATACCTTTGAGTTTGAATCACTGGTACTATGTAAAATCTTAAGGAGACATCCCCCTCCTTTTTTTTTTTTTTTTTTAAGGACTTGGCGAAAACAGAGGATATCATAGTTTCTAGAAAAAGTTGTCTGGGAAACAAAATCCTGCATTCCTACCACCCCTTCTGCCATTTAACTCTTCTGGGACCTTGAGTGTTTCTCTCGCTCCCTTGGCCCCCTGTTTTCCTTGAGTTCTAAGTGAGGCAGGTCAGGCTTCGTGACTCCTGTTGCCCTTCCTCTCATCACCTTCTGTGACTGGCTCACGCAGTGCTGATTTTCTTATGTGTCGCTTACCTTCGTGCCTGTTGGTGGCTAAACATCTGGGGCATTGTCTCTAATTGTCAGGTGTAATGAATAGCTAAAAGACTTAAATCACTCTTCTGCTATTTACCAAGCTGTGTGAAACCCATTCTCCTGATTATCTAAAGCTTATTTATTGAGTGGACTGATTTTTGTTTTATTGTTCAATTTCTGAACTTTGTCCACAGTCCCCTTTGGGTAAAAGTGTCAAGAATCATATGTAGATGAATAGCACAAGTTTTGTTCACTTGACTTTCTGTCTCGTATTATGAACGGGCAGACCTTGTTTTGCACTGTAGCTCAGGACTGTGAAAATGATCATACAAGGTGAAACCAGGCAAAAACAATCTTAACAATCAGTGAGGGAAAGTCCAGCTTTTCCATGACCTTTGAAGATTTGGCAAAACATTGAGAACTCTCTGACTCTTGTTTATAAATGTGTAAGGCAGTGCATTTGCCCATATAACAGCTTTCTCGCTGGTCCTTCTGCTTCCAAACTGTCTCCTTAGCCCAACCTTTTATTCACAACTTGACAGTACAGTTCTCCATTTTATGAGGACACTACAGTTTATTTACTCATTTTTATAATAATCAAGTTCTAGACTTTTTCAGGTTTAATATTTGTTCTAAACAGTGCTACAGTAATATTCTTGTACATTGAAGTAGAAGTTCTTGTCATCGGTCATCTTAAACATTATTAGATATTTTGATACTGCTTTTTAAGTGTTGTTTTTTTCCATACTATTTTGATCAGTTTTCATAATATTTTGAAATCCAGGTTTTTCACTCAGCAGTCATGTCATTGATATTTTTGATGATTTTTTAAAATCTAGATTGGGGTCAGCTAACTATGGTAAGCCCTCACCTAACATTGTCAGTAGATTCTGGAATTTTAAGTGAAATGATGTATAATGAAACCAATTTTACCATAGGCTTATTTTTTTTTCCAATTTATTTTTTTATTGAATTTATTGGGGTGATGGTTAATAAAATTATACAGGTTTCAGGTATACAGTTCAAAACACATCATCTGCATATCGTACTGCGCATTCACCACCCCGAGTGCAGCCTCCTTCCATCGTCCTTTAATCCCTCCTTTATCCTCTTCTGCTTCCACCTAAGTGCACCCCTTCCCTCTGGCAGTCAGGACACTGTTGTCTGTGTCTGTGAGTCTTTCTTTTTTTCCTTTGCTTTATCCTTTCGCCCATGTCACCCAGCCCCAACCTCCGGCCCTCTGACAGCCGTCAGTCTGTTCTGTTCAGGTTTGCTGTCCTGTATCCCGGAGAAGTCAGGGACCTCTGAAGAAAGACCTTAGGAGCTTTTCTCCAGTTAAAGTGCATGTAGTATTATCTTTTGGGCTCATCAGAGGCTTTTTTGATTTCTTCTTGGGTCTTGATGTATTTCTTATTTTTGAAGGTACAGAATAAGTCAACTGAGGACTCGCCTGGCATGTTTCTTTCTCCACCAGTGTTCTTGACTCTAAGCAGTTTCTTTTCTGTGTTTCGGTGGCACCTAGACATGCCTCTCTCCTAGTACTTGTCATACCAAATGGTAATTATTGTGAAATGGTCTCTTAACTGAAACTAAGTATCACTTATACCAGTTTGTGGCATTAGTTGACATTTTGCTAGGCTTTGCCAGTGTGCTGCATTCCATCAGGTTTGGGTTTTTTGTTTTTTTTAATTGATGTAAATCGTGTTGGAAGCACTCAGGCCAGTGCCTGCGTATATCCCCTTATGTCTGGACTCATTGTATGCATGGGGTCGAACATGAACCTTTTTCAAAATAAGGTGTTTGGAGAAGGAGAAACACACAACACAGCACCTGTTGGATTTGGAGTTGTGTGGGGAAAGGGCGTCGCTGAAGCCAGGGGCTGGGGAGGACCGTGAGCGCAGTGAGAGAACGCTGCCGCGGGCGGGAAGGGCCCCTGGCCTGGTCGGCGACCTTTGGACCAGTGCCTGAGGGATGTAGGTGTGGGTCTAGGCAGGGGGTTTTTGTTGTTTTTTTAATATCCTATGACTACTTGTGATGTGAGGACTGTATAACATGAGACAGTAGTTAGGTGTGTGGAGAAAAAGAAAGCCTACTGTTTTTTCATACCATATGTGATATTTTCAGTATTTAAGGAAAAGTAAAGTTAAAATTCAGAAATGTTAAGTCAAAAAATGTGCGTCCTTGAATCAGTCATTAATATGTAGTATATCACCGGGAGACCAGCCGCTTTAGTAGGGACTCTCCTTCTGATGGCTGGTTGCTAACAATTGATAGGGCTTCGTTACACAAAGTGTGCGCCTTTCAGCCTTGGCTCCCCTTCTGACATACCTGGACACAGAAGGCAGGGAGATTCTTCATCACCCAGACGAAGTGCTGAGTGGCAGACACCTTAAGCAAGATTCAAGCAGAGGTTGAGTGAATAGACACTTTTGAGGGGGACAAGGGTCATTGCCACAGCATGACACTGTTGTGGTCCTGAGGCACTGTTGTACAGGCGTGATCCCCTCTGGTCAGGGCATGGCTGAGAAGGGCATGGTTGGCCCTGGAGATGCACATAGTCTGCGTCTGCATGGCCAAGTCAAGGGAGAGCAGAACGTCGGCTGGCGGCGTTTACGTCAGCAACTCTCGGGGAAGCACCGTAGCGCCCTGTCATGGACCCTGTGGTTCCCAGTCCACTTCCAGAGCTACTGTGGGATCGTGGGGACAGGAGCCCTGAGGCCTGTTGAGCTAGTGGGCTTCGACCCTCACAAATGGACCTGCTGAGAGCAGGCAGTGCTTCGGCCTCGGCACTCAGTGTTCCCTGGGAGCTCTGCTGGTCTTCCACCCTCAGAGCCCAGCGCCGTGCCTGATGCAGTGCGGAAATGTGGGCAGTGGGTAGACGGCTGAACAAGACGTTTATGACTACTCCCTCTCCTTTGGATCGATGTGTAGTTTTTGGAATATGGAATAGCTTTAATTTTTGAGGCACAGATAACACCCAGTGAAAATAAGCATGCTAAAGGAACTAATTTAATTAGAAACAGATTTTTGTTTATTTTCCCCCGTCCCCCCTACTTTTTCCTATCTAATGGATGTATTTTCTCTTTCCTCGAACTGAACAGTTGTTTTCTTGTCACGCAGGGGCCTGAATTAATGAACAAGTACGTCGGCGAATCAGAAAGGGCGGTTCGGGAGGTAAGAGGACCGTCCCTCCTGGTGGCGCTCTGCCCAGGAGAGCCATGCTCCTGGCCCCCAGATGGTTTCCATTCTGCTTCGGGTTACAGATTTTGAAATTTCCAAATCCCAATTCTAGTAGTATATTTTTTCTTTAGGCAAATATTATTTATTATTTAGAAATGCAGTTTTGATCATCTGTCATACTTTGTTTTTAAGCCTCATAGTATTACCACCCTTTAGTTTTACCAAAGGTTTTTTAAACAGGTACCAGCATTTCATCTACAAAAGGACACGTCTGTACTTACAAAGAACACGTGATCTCAGAATGATATTTGAATATTTTAAACTAAGTAGTCCTTTAAAGCAAATAAGCTTAGTGTATAAAAATTCCACTGTACTCTCCTATTTTACTTCTTTTCCCGTGGCCTGGTGGTTTGGACGCATCCCTCCCACCCCCACGCTCTGAAGCCCGCGGGGCTGACAGGCCACGCCTTCTCACTGCAGGAGGCACGTGGCGGCTGCAGCAGTGTGGCCACGAGTCTTGACATTCCCGAGCAGAGGGGCCCTGTTTCGCACAGGCCCCCTGTGTCCTCACAGAAGCTCAGCGAGGACAAGAAAACACAAGCAGCAGTGGAGTGGACGGTCTGCATTTGTGAAATACCTGCATATTGGAGATCGGAATACTTTCTTTTGCATCTGAGGAAAAATTTTGTTTTGTTTCTTTAACATGTAGATGATGATAATTGTATAAAATATTAATTGATAATGACAGTACCATCATTGATTGAAATGAAAAAGATGATGTTTATTTAATGTTTTGTATTCTTATACTTGTGACAAGGAAATGGGAGCCTAGGTTACAGGTAACACACATTGGGGTTCTCCCCGCCTGTGCTGACTTCTTCTAGCCCGTGTCCACGTGTCGCCCTGTGGCTCTCTGGCTGTCCAGTCTCTGATGTTGATGGCTTCTCTGATTGACCTCTGGCCTAACCAGCCTGTGGTCTTCCCAGTTTTGGCCCTTGTTCTTTTTTTTCCTGGCTTTGTATCAACTATTCATTTGTCTTTCATAAAGTCTTCAGTGAGGTGAACAAGGTGTGTGGCTTTTGAGTTTAGGGGTAAGTGGAACCTTGGTTCAAACTTAATTTGTTCTGGAAAACAGTTCGAGAAGCGATTTACCAAATCTCTTCTTCGAAAACCACATCTCCTTTGTCACCCGAGAGACGTGCGGCTGATGACACAGGTGTCAGCATGAAAGGGGTGTCTGGTAGAGAATCTAGAGTCGAAGGTCTGTTAGGCAACTGACTTTTTTTTTCTGTGAACAACTTGGTTGAGAGCCAAGAGGGTCAAGAACTGAGTTTTGACTCTATTTTATAAGCTAAGCTATGGTTAATTTTACACATTTATGGTTTTTCTTTTTAACATGTGTTTATGGTGGTTAATACCTATCTTTTACTAAGCTCTTACTATGTTTTAGACATTGTGCTAATTACTTTGCATTATTTTTTTATTCAGTTCTTAGAATAATCTGAGGCTAGCATTTATCACTTTTGGCATTGGATAGGTGTGGACATTTTGAAAGTCACAGAAGTTATGTTGCCCACTGAAAGTCACACAGCCACTAAGATGGGAGAGTTGGGATTTTAGCTGGGCTTGTTTGATCGCTTAACCACATTGCCCCCAACATGTAGACAGACCTCTATGGATACCTGTGGGTGTTTGTCTGGGTGCAGCACATATTTATGGGGCTGACTGTCTTGTATCTAATGGATTCAGTTCTAAACAGTTTTCACACTCGAGCCAGTGGCAGGGCTTTCTGGAGTTAGCTGATTCCTCGCTAACGTGGCGCTCTCTCCCCCAGGTCTTCCGCAGAGCGAGAGCCGTGGCTCCTTCCATTGTTTTCTTTGATGAGCTGGACGCCTTGGCGGTTGAAAGGGGCAGGTAGGCACTGCTTTATAGGGCTGCTGTGGGACAGCAGCACCTACAGTGCAGCGAAAATAACATCTCTGATACCAGTTTTATTTATTAGTACATTTGGCCTGAAAGAAAACATTCTGCAAGTCATGTAGGTTTTTTTTTTTATTATATCCATTAAATTACTTCATATATACAATTTCATATACAATTTAAAAAAATCACTGATACCCATTTGCGGCATTTGAGTTAATTTTTATAGTTTATTATCTATAGGGACCCTTAGCATTATCAAAACTTGAGTTGTCATAAATACATGATTAAAACTATGAACAAAGGTCAATTAAGTATAATATAGAGTATAACCCAATTATGATAAAAGGTGTTAGTATACAGATCTTAGTATTCTCTGGATTAAACCACGTTTCCTAAAATATAATTAGGTGCAAAGGAATAGAAATTAGTATTAATAGTTTTATTTCTGAATCTCAGACAATAAAGAGGGTTATTTATAATAGTTTAAATTTATGATCATATAATCACATACATGTATCACTGAACTATTTTTGATCATTTCTTCCCTACAAATGTTTAGAGGTCCTTTAAGGAATATGCATGGGAACTTTGTGTTGGAGAATGGTGATTTGTGTGCATTGTGCATAGCTTCCTGATGTATGTATTGGTTATAGAAGCCTGCCTGGCAATGACAGCGGTGGCAGAGGCACCGTGGGAGCTGCAGGAGCAACCTTGATAAGAGGCGGTGCTGCTCCCCTGCCGCCACGTGGCCTGGCCGCCGGGTGGGATGAGAGCGCGAAGGGCCCTGGGAGCCTGGGGAGGAGGGAGCCTGCCCTGCCCTCCGTCCACCCGCTGTGCCTCCTGCAGATGCCGCCAGGCTTTTCATGTTACGGGTTCGCGTCCTTGGGCCCTTTCATTACCTTTGAGGTGAGATGGCACAATTGCAAAAAGCTCCGGTTCAGCTTAACTGCAAGAGAAGGAAAGGAAGCCAGAGAAGTCAGCTGAAGCGTGTGACCTGTCACATTCATGTGACATTAGGGACATCTGTTTATGGAGCCCGGAAAGGAACAGGGTGAGATACATCGTTAAAGATCACCAGATGGGAGGTAGAATCTGTTGCAGATTCTCATGAAATGCTTTTGAAATAAAATGGTATGAGAAACCAGAGAAAGCACTTGGTAGAAACCTCCTGTTTTTGCAGGCAGTTTGGCTCAGAAGGAATTTGCTAGATGCTAATGATGTGCATCCTCCAGTGTCTGTCGTGTCCTCCAGTCGTGTCCATCAGGGTCTGGACTGTGTGCCTCCCTCCTTCAGAGGCTTGTTCAGATCAAGTACAGGTGAATTCTGTGCAGTGTCCTTTGTATAGAAAATTTTGGGTCAAAGTTATTTGACACTTCAGAAAACAAAGGTGAGACTGGTGAGCGAATGTAATGCTAATGGTTCAAAGTAGAGTTTAGGTTGTACCCCAGTAGCAGTAAGTCTCATATAGTTTGTTTTTCATAGCCATAGGGATCTCATAGGGTGATATTCTGTTTTCAGGGTGTTGTTCCTCCTGATTTTGTGATGTGCCAACATTGCCTAGAAAGTCATCATTTTATCTAATTAGGTTGCTATTACCAGAAAACTAAAGCAAATAAAACCTCCACATGTATTTTGTATGTTTTTGTTCTTCAACTGTTTAAATTAAACAATTTCTAGAAACTGTAAAAACAGCTGTTGATGGATACCAAAAGCATAAAATTTTAGAGATACCTAAACCAATTTTATGCATTATTAAAGAAATGGAAAACATAGAAAAATAAAAATTTCCATGAAGTAGGAGGCATTTCTACATAATATTGTGCTATAGAATAGTCACTACTTTCATTTGTTCAAACAATAACATTTAGATAAAACCCATATGGCTAGTCCAAAAATGACAATGTGTAAGAAGACTGTTTCTTTTTATAAAGGTTTTAATTTCCGAACTTAAGGTGTCTAATAAATTGAGCAGAGAATTATGGTACATACATACTAGCCCGTACTATCTTAAACCAATTAATTTAGACTATTTCTAGTCACTCAAATTAGCCATGAAGACAGGATTGCAGGCGGCATGTTGAGAACAGAGCAGAGATACATTGTTTGCTTAGCTTCAGACATACTTGTGCTTTCAGACAGAATTTTTTCATGCTCATAAAAGTGTCTAGTTACAACCACTGTTTTCTCCTCCTCCTGTCCATTTAAATTTCTTTGGGACTTGAAAATAAATAAACCTCATATTTATATCTCTTTGTGTACCCATTTAAATTACAGTGTTCTGAATAAGATTTTTTTTTTTTTTTTTTTTTTGGTCTTATTTCACATTGGGAGTTGGAGGAAATATAAGATTCCTTTTGTAGAGTGCTTCAGTGATCTCTGTAACATTTGGGAAAATTGGAAATGCTGTTAAAGTAGCACAGCTCTTTGGAAAACAGGTAATATGGGAGGAAGTAGGACACTGAGGTAGGGAGGGACTTGAATTATACAGGACAAGCAACATTAAATAACATTATTTAGTGCTTATTAGGACCTAGAAACTTTTAAATGCTTTACAGGTAAAGAAAGCCTCACAAAAAGACCCCTGCATAAATGCAAAGTAGGATATTACACAACTGACAACTGTCTTCCATACTCTGCCCCACCTCCCTACTACCTTAACCTTCCACCTTTTTCAAGGTTTACAATGGAGATGGGAGAGCAAGCTGGGCAGTCAGCCTTGTCTTGGGCAGCAGCCCTGTCTCCAGAAGTGGACAGGCATAGGGGAGCCCCAGGGACTGCTTGGCCTGGCCCCCTGTGACTGAGGACTTGGCCACTGGCTAACTTAGAGACGGGGAGGGGGGGGGGGGGGGGGGAGGCTCAAAACTTCCTTTGTCACAGATCAAGGTCAAAAGCTGGTGCTGGTTGCAGAACTAGAATCTCTGTCTCTGGGAGCTTATCTCTGGAACTTAGCGACCCTAGCATGAGAGGCCCATCTTGTTTACTTCACTAACTTCCCTCTTTCACTGTGGCCTTTTGTTGTATTATCTGCAAATCATCACAACAGCCCCAGGAAGTGTAGCCCTATTCTCACCTCCATTGATCAGGTGAACTGGCCTGGGCATTTAGATGTGTAAATACCTTCCTTTCTCAGGTATCCCTAGTAGCAGAGCTGGAATTTGAAGTCAGGCATTTCCACTCTGGAGCAGACCCTCTGAGCCACTTTCTGAACTGATGACCACACCACAGAGTCCAGAATTCCAGGTCTAAGTAGTTAACTCTCTTACCTTTCAAGTTTGTGTTCATTGTGTTTTCCCAGCGACTTACGTAGTAATGACCCTGTCCTTCTAACTGGGCTGCTGTTAGACTCCTTTCAAGCACCCACTCATTCACTGGTTCAGTGAATATTTATTGAGAGTTCCTTCTGCAGCAGGCTCAGCGAGGGGATAAAACAGGGAACAGGACCTAAGGCAGTTCCCTTAACGTCCTGTGGCCACGGTTTCTCCTTTGCAGAGTGGAGTTAATAGTAACAAATTCTAGGTTGTTGGGATTAAATACATGTCTGGAGTGTCCAACTTTTCGGGTCTCTGGGCCACACTGGAAAAAGAGTTTTCTTCGGCCACACATTAAATGCATTGCAACACGTAATCACAGAAAAATCTCTGATTGTTTTAAGTAAATTTATGATTTTGTGTTGGGCCACGTTCACAGCCGCCCTGGGCCGTGGGTTGGACACCCCTGAAAGCGCTTCACATGGTGCCCGGCATTTTGTGGCCACTTAAAAACTTTAGCATTTCTTGTAATTTCTGCATAGGTATTTTTATAATAATAACTTTCATATAGATAGAAGTATAGTGCTAGAGATAAAAATGAATCCTGCTCATCAGAGTTTATATTTTAGTAGAAGAAACTGAAGTGTTTGGGAAATTAGGAAAAGTATTCTACAAGCGACCGGTACTGTGAGATTTCATCAACCTAAGATGCCATCGGTTGTAAGACAGGTCATTATCTTTGTGTCATTACTGAAGAGAAGTTCAGCTTTAAACTGTGAAACAGTGCTGAAAAATCACCAACTCCAAGAGACATTCTTATTTCAAAAATTTTAAATATGAAACAAGTTTGTGTTTTAGAAATAGAAGAAAGACAGTGTTGTTATTTGGGTGAAAGAGAGGGTGCTCTCTTCTGTTTTATAAAACCAATGCTATTACATACCAACTGCTTGAGATGTTGTTTTATGACTAGAATGTAAAAAAGATGATTGTATGGAGAAGACTAAGTGCGCGGTTAAAAGCTGACGGAGTATCTCCCGTAAGGTGTTGGAGAATCCGTGATACCAATGACCAGCGATGTGTGTGGCTGTTGGTGCACTTGGTTCCCACTTGGGGTATGTGGTAAACAGCAGGGGGTCCCGGGTCTGCTTTCGTGGCAAATGTGGGCTCTGGACTTGGTGGCCTTCTGAGCAGAGCTCTGAGTTTTCCAATAATGACCAGGGGGTGGGGGAGCCTTTTTTGTCACATAGCCTGAGGGCAGGTAAACCCAAGTATTCAGGACACTAAGCGCTGCAGAGGGAATTTCTGTAGGCGTCATTTCTCTGAATGACACTCTCAGGGAGCGTTCTAAACTGTTTTAATGTGATTTTTATGGTGGTTTTTAAAATTTCATAAAACCACAAAATTTTATAGCTGGAAAAATTCTGACAAGTGATCTAGTACAAGTTTTTATTCTTCAAGAGGAACAGAAGCTGCTAGAATTAAGAGAAGAGGCCCACGACTCCTCTGTGGTCTCAGCAGGATGGAGCACACGCACTCTGTCTGATGTAGGCTCTTAGAGCGGCTGCCTAGACCTCAGGACATGGGTGTGTCTATATCCGTGTAAAAATGATCTAATCACAAAACGAAGGTTTCTGCATATAACAAACTCTAACAAAAACCACCTCGTAAGAATTTCAACCACTTTTACTTTGAATGTCTGTGTTTCGAGTTTCTAAATTCACTGCCTGTTTTCTGGTATGCTGATTTTTCACATTGGTCAACTTTTAATATTAAACAAATGCTGAAGAAAACAGCACAAGAAATGGAAAGCATTTAATGATTTTTCATTGCAATAGTTTCCTGACATGCCGCAGAGTTCTACAAGTATTTTGTTTTGTGTTTTGTCTAAGCACTGTAACCGTATAGATGAAAGGTCTGACTTTTCTTTAAGACAGGGCCTGTTGCAGCATCTGACTAGCCACTAGGAATTATTTTTTTGTTTTCATAGGACAAATAGTTTCCCTTATTGTGTCTGTCTTGCCTTTAAAATGAAAGTTTTCTTGCATTTTACATAAACACCAAGAGAATCATCACAGGCTTGTGTTCAGAGTGGCATTTCTTTGGCTGGTCTTCTTTAGGTCTCTTCCAGGCCTGAATAATGCCTGTGACAGATGTCTGCCATTTGGAGCTCTTTGTAGTGTTTTAAAATGTATACTAGAAAAACATTGACAATTTTAAATTGGATAAATGAGGTTTTGGTCTATAATTTAGAAATATGATAGAACATTTCATTGCAGGAGTTCAGAAGAAAATATATCATTTTTGTGAAATATCGAGTACTGAAAAATAAGAATCAGTGTACTAATTACCATCACGGCAGTGAGAGTTCTGCCATAGGCCAGTTAGTACATGCTTTTGACTGTGCGGGCCATACAGCCTCTGCAGAAGCTGTTCGTCTCCGCCCCCACAGTGCGAGAGAGGCCCGGCAAGTATGTCAGCAAGTGAAAAAACAGTCAGTTGGCTGGATTTGGTCTGTGGCCATAGGTTCCTGACCTGTTTAAAGATATAGAGTCCCTTCGGTCCATGGTATCATGTGACTTTTGAATATGAATAATTGGAAAAAGCTTCAATATTTTCTACAGCTGAACATTCCCCCTGCCCCCCCATTTTCATGTTGACTATCTCTAGCAGATTATAAAGTTTTATAAAATCATTTCATTATGTTAGTGATTACACATTTGTTTTCAGACTTTTTCTGGGAGTTGATTTCCTAGGATGTCGGTTTTATGGTTTTTGTTTCCTACTGCAGCTTTGAAATTCAGCCAAGAATATTTCTCAGCCCATAAAACATTTTCACTGTGCTGTTCTCCAGCAGCTTTCACTGATCTGTGGGGATGCAGGGCACGGCGGTGGGGGGTGATGGGAGTCCGAAGAGTTCCCTTCACCTCATCTTCCACGTCCTTTCCAGCCACTGTTTCCTCTGGCAGCAGAGAGCAAATTGGTCGAGTATGAATTCCTGTCTGTTTAGAAGTACCTGATCGGGGCTGTCAGTAACAAGTTTCTGAATATGCATATTTTTATTAAAAATAATGAGTTAAATAACTTGAGTTAGGCACTACATAATACCATCACAGAATCACAGAATTCTAAAGCTAGAAAGATAAAGAGATGTATATTTAACTTCCTCATCATACTTGCCAATAACAGTGGAGTCCTCAAGGGAGCAGGAAGGCCTCCAGCCTCTTCGCTCTCTTGCACAGTGTCTACCGAGGAAGCACCAGATCTTTATTTCTCAAATAAGGGAATGAAGGCACAGAAAAGCCAGAGGGTGGGTTCACTCAATTGGTTCTTAGAATCTGACGTTACCATGTTTCAGTGTCATTTTTCAAAAAATTAAACTCTGGAACTATCTGGGAAATTTTGTGACCTGTATTTATGTGCATAGAGACACCATCATCCTCATAAAGAAGCATTTGTGAGCTTTGGAATATGTTCATCTGCCAAAGAGCTCCAAAAAGAATGAATGAAGTACTAAACATTGCTTTTTCAAAAAAATTCTAGATCATAAGCCTTTGGGATATAATTAGGTTTACATGAGGCCATGCAGGGGGGGCCCCCCTGATGGGATTGATATCCTCACAAGAAGAGACACCAGAGAGCCTGCTTTCTGTTTCTCCGTCTGCCGTGTGAGGACACAGCCAGAGGGCGGCCGTCTGTAAGTCCAGAGGGAGCCCTCACCAGAACCCGGCCATGCAGGAACTCTCGCCTTGGACTGTCAGCCCCTGAAACTATGAGAAAATGAATTCCTGTCGTTGAAGCCTCTAGTTGGTGGTATTTTGTTATGGCATACCCCTTCTAAAATCCTGGTGATGGTTTCCTGTTCCTTACCCAGTTAGTTTTTTTCACTCACTATACACTTCTGGGTGATCTATTCTATTCCCATCTCTCAGGTATGGTGTTTATGGCAAAAGTCAGGAGAGAGATTTCTACCTCAGGCCTCTCTTTTATGTCCACATCTGAAGCTGCCCCACAGGCACTTGGAACGCAGCATGTCAGCAGTTGAAGTTCTCCCCCAGCAACTCCATGAAAGCTTCAGTTTACCAGCCCTATTGATTGTGTTCCTTAGTATTTCTCACATCCGTGTGCTGCTTTTTAAATATGCGTAGCTTTCTGCCCAGTTCTTTACTACTCGACACTGACATAGCATGTCATTATTGAGGAGAAAATGAACGTGGTTGATGACGGGGGAAAGAAGTGATTTGAATACAGTTCGTTTTGGGATGTAATAATTCATGCAGGAATGGATTCTGAACATGCATTTTATATTTTGAAACAGATGTAATTTTTTTGTTATAGAATATACAATATTTTAAAAATAATGGCATATTTGGGGATAGGTCACCCCACTTTTTAAACTGTCTTTCTAAACCTCAGCTCCTCAGGTGCTGGAGGTGTGGCTGACCGCGTTCTGGCTCAGCTCCTCACGGAGATGGACGGCATCGAGCAGCTGAGGGACGTGACAGTCCTGGCCGCCACGAACCGCCCCGACAGGATAGACAAGGTGAGGAAGGGGGCTGCCTGGGTGTTGCAGACTCAGGGACGGGGGCATGTGATTATGGGTCAAATTATTTCCTATTCCATTTTTTATTTAGAGGATACCGAAAGCCTTTAAACTAAAGGAAATGAAGGGAATGAAGCCTTTTTTTTTTTTTTTTTTTTTTTTTTGCTTTTGGTGTTAATGAAACTGTTTTGCAAACCCTTGAATTCCCCCTCACCCATGGTTACATAAAACTTTCATTGTATTTCCCTAGAGAATTGAAGTTCTGTGATTCTTTTTTTTTTTATTGCTTCATCTGACTTTTTTTTTTTTAGAAGTTTTTAACTTTTCCCTTTGTTTTAAGATAAATTTCTGGCTATTTAGTACTAGACTCAAGTTATTATTAACAACTTGCTGGAAGTCCGGGCCTAGCAGTTGATTTCAGAGTAATTAGAATAAAATGACAGTGGACTTTCCTTCTCTAAGAATGTACTTAGGCTGTAGCATTCAATAAGGCGTACAGGCACAACAGCAACCTTTTCAAGTTATTGCTCCCTCCGCCCGTCATAGTTGAATAAAAGAGCCAACTAAATTTTAAGTGTCTAATTTGTACTGAATGCATACCTTTTTAAACAAAGATTAAAATTGAGAGTAATAATTTACTCCCAGAGCTGGAACCAGTGTCTCCTTTTTTGTTAACATTATACGACCTTATGTGCTCCTTCCACCCCGTGTACATATACGCAGACTTTCGGTTTTAAAAAAAGGGTTTTAAAGAATGATCCTTTTGAAAATGTAAAAGGAACTTTTATGTGGAATTCGTTCACTTAGGTATTTTGCTCTGTGACAAAGACCCTTTAGTCACTCTCTCCGATGCAGCGTTTGTAAGGCGCCAGGTGAGCTCTGAGCACTTGGAGCGCCCCAGTCGGTGCCAGGCTCCGAGGCGCCTGTGGAATGGGAGGGCTGCATCTGACCATGGTTATAGAAAGTGGGGAAAGAGTCCGGAGAGTCGGCCTGGGCCCGCCTTTCGGTTTCACAAGTAAAGGGGCTGAATCCAGAAAAAGTGTCTTTTTTCTGTTAAGACTACATTGATTTTTACGGCATTTTTATCCTGGTGACTCGATGGCTAATGAGCTCTGAAAGTTCCTGGGTTTCCTGCTCCACATGCCTGATCCAACCGCGTTCCTCTTTGGTTTTTTTGTATTGTATGGCTTCACTGTTCGATCCATTTCTGGAAGGAGGATGTTGAGCTTACAGTAAACTTCTCTGGGTTCTTCTAAATCAGGCTGTGTGAATTAGCCTGGTTAGGGCTTGCGTCAGTTGTCTTGCTGCATGACAAATGACCTCACATTTAGCAGCTTTGCACGACACCCATTTACTAGTGCTTCCGCGGGTTGGTTAAGATCGGGGCATGGCATGACGGAGCTGTCTGCTCAGGGACTCGCTAGAGGCTAAGGACATTCTCCTCAGGAGCTGGTATTCCTCTCTGAGTGCATGGGGCTGTGGCAGAATTCACGCCTTGTGACTGCAGGCCTGGTGACTGTGTTTCCTTCCTGGCTTCAGTGGGGAGCCGCTCTCCGCTCCTGGAGGCCACCCACCTGTTCCCCTTCCCTCCTCAGAGACAGCTGAGGAGAAACTCCACCATCTTCTGTACCTCGCGTGGTGTGTATTTCCATTGCCAGGAGGCGCCACCTTGTTTATAGTCTCCCCTGATCAGGTTAGCTCCTCCTCCCCCAGCAAAATCTCTCCACCTTCAAGTCAGCTGATTCAGGCCCTTGGTTGTATTCGTAAAAGCCCCTCACAGTGGCGCCTAGATTGGCCTTCGAATGACTGGGAGAAGGGGTAGGGCTGCCCACCAGGGACCATAGCCTTCCCTGTGGCTGGTTGTTCTCGGATTCTTCCTGCCTCGGTGCTCTTCGGCGCCTCCCCCCCAGTTTCTCTTCTGGGCACCAGGAACAAAGTCTCACTCTCAGGGACCAGCTTATCCTTGCCTGGCACGACTGGCAACAAACCAGCTCCTTTGAAATGTCCCTGTTCTGTGGAATCTGCTGTCCTCACATGCGGCGTTTCACTGCCACGCCTTGTCCAGAGAGATGTCTTCAGATGGTACATATAATCTCTCTTAAAATAGAAAAGAGCAAAACAAGTTGAATGCCCTTTTTAAGGGATACATTTTTTTCATGTTTTTTATATGAACATGAAAAGTGTACACCTTATGGAATTGTTGATTTATAATGTTTTCTTTACATTTTTCCTGTCAAACCCAAACTGAACCCCAGCTGTTGTGTTTTTCGGTAAGGTATAAGGTGGCCTGGATTTACCTGTGCCTGGCACCAGAGACCCTGAGAAGTTTTCGAGATAAACCTGGGGATGAGAATTATTCTTGAGCCTCTCTAAGGTTTGGGGCCTTTCTTAGGCTCATCTTAGAAGTCAGAACCCCCGAGGTAGGTGACTCCCATTCTCTTTAGGGTACTGTAGTCCGTGGCTCCCTGGGATCTCTTGGAGAAAATGCCACATTTGGGGCAGAATTTTTCTCCAAAATGTGAGATTGAAGGGATGGAAGTAGTTCTTTTTTACATTTTAGATTTTTTGGATTGTTTTTCTGTTTCTTGCCTGCTAATATTTGCCCAAGAGTAAGGCGGGTGCTGTGTTTCATTAGTAGCAACTCCTAAGTGACACTCTTCAACATCACAGACTTTGAGAAATATGTTGCCCAAATTGTAGTCATATTTTTATCCTTCGTAAAATGTTACCTTTAATGCCTCAGTTCTAAAAACACTTAATTGTCCAAAATACATATTTTAAGAGCCAGTATTTTTACACTTTGTTAACACTTCTTAACTAATTAACCTTTGCTTCAAGAAGCTTCAGAGACAAGCGCAAACATATGTGTGTATTTGTGTATATGAATGAGTATATATGCATGTATGTATACATGTACACCCATACATACATACATAGAGAACTTTATTAGTTTTTAAAAATTAGAATTAATGTCTTTTAACCAGTTAATTTTAGATGAGCACATTTAAACTAAGATGTAATTTACTAATTAGATATGAAGACTTTTTCACTGAATTAGGAAGAACCTAAAGATCTTTAACTATTTAAATTTTTAAAAAATTGTAATGTTTGATTTGTAACAGATGAAAGTAAAATTACTGGCAGCAAAACATAAAATCAGTCACTGGGAAAAGTATCTTTAAGAATGGTTTCAGCTCTGACTGGTGCGGCTCCGGTGGTTGGGCGGCGTCCTGCAGACCGAAGGGTCACAGGCTGAACCCTCTTTGGGGCGTGTGTGGAAGGCAGCCAGTCAGCCTTTCTCTCTCACATTGATGTTCCTCTCCTTCCCTCCCTCCCTCCCTTCCCTTCTCTCTAAAATTTAAAAAAAAAGTGGGGGGGATGGTTTCAAGGTCATCAAAATGATATGCTATGCATTTAAGTACAACTTTGAGTGCAGTTCATTGAAACATGGCCTAAATGTTCTACGTCTACCCTGTACTTGTGCAAGGTAACAACTTTATTTTTATCTTATTTTATATTTTAAAAGATTTTATTTATTTTCAGAGAGGGGAAGGGAAGGAAAAAGGTTGGAGGGGAGAAACACCGATGTGAGCCACATTAATTGGTTGGTGCCCCTCTCATGTCCCTACCTGGGCGTCTGGCCCACAGCCCAGGCCTGTGCCCTGACCAGGGATCAACTGGCAAACTTTTGGTTCGTAGGCTGGCACTCAGTCCACTGAGCCACATCAGGCAGGGCCAAAATAACTACTTTAAATAATCAGAAATTTTCTTAAAAAATATTTTAATCATTTTTTTTCTTTCAGATAAAATTTCATATTCACGTAGAGTATGCCTTTTTTTAAACTGTGCTTTTGTTACTACTCAGATGATATATGGTATATTGAAAGTCTATTTCCTTTCCAGATTTATTTTCTTCGGAAGAATTATTGCAGAGTATTACTTGTGTGTTGTGTAATAGTGCTATAAAAAAAGATTAAGCACATGTGTGATTAGAACGTGGTGTCCAAAATGTGCCCTGAATGTGCTGGTAGAAACAAAACAGTCTTAAGAGACAATTTTTTCAAGCCAGAAAACAATTTCCTGTTGTGAAATGCATAGACACAGTTTTCGCCACCTGTCTTGTCTGGAGGAAACTGTAGCAGGAAGAGAACAGGCAACAGAAGAGTCAAAGTAAATTTCATGGGCTGATATTGAAAGTAGAGATTTTGTTTTAGGCCTCCAGGGGGAAAGGGAGAGGGGGAAGGACCAATCTGGTGTCAGAGAAATAATACACTCTCTATGTAATAATACACTCTCTATGTAATAATGAGTCTGCCTTTGGCTGCGTTTAATTAAGGTGTTCAGCCTTGTAAATTAGCTCGCATACGTTACAAACCATTGCCCTTTCACCTGTAACCTCTGTGTCCTGCTGACCTTGTGTCAGTGTGTTAGAACAAGGAGAATTCTCGGACCGTCCGAGGGGTGAAATTGATAGCATCATGCGACCCATATGTTGTGCATAGCTAGTGTCTTTTTTGGACAGCATTTCAGTTTCATGTAGTCTGGGGAAGCGAAAGCTAGGGTTTCTTAGGGATTATGGTGATCAGCAAAGGAAGTGAGACGCAACGTAAGAATCATACTCTGTTTCCTTTTATGTCATATTTACACATCAACCCCATTAGCTACGCTGCAGCGCACTAGGCTGAGGAAAGTGATTCCCGGGGTCTCTGGTGGCATCGCAAAGCCTCTGCAGACCTCTTACCCTCCAACCCCCTCCTCCAGCTTAGAGATGAGTGAAGAGAAGTTGCAACCTCAAGTGTCCATTTTGCTAAGAATGACAGGAAGTGAAGGACAGATGAAGATTAATGAGATTGTGTGATGTCAGGCAGACACGTCTTTAGATTGATGGTGGTCTGGATTTCCTCAGGCAGCATCAAGAGACTTTAGAACAGCAAACAGCTAGATTATTATTGAGGCTCAAGTAATAGGTAAATGTACAAACTCTATAAGTTTATATTGTT